CATGAGGATGATGACGGTGATGATGATGACGATGTGCTCCGTCTCTCTGCGGTATTATCCAACAGCAGTCATGAGGATGATGACGGTGATGATGACGATGACGATGTGCAGCTAGGACACTCCTGTCGGGGAGCACAGGCGCCTTCTCCCCGCCACAGGCGCGGCTGGAAACGACACACTGGCCGTGCCCGCAGTAAACGAGCAGACCTGCAGCTGGGGACAGTCCCTCTGCAGCCCGGGGGGGGTGGGGGTGTGTGCTGTCTGTGTGGAGTCTGCGTGCTCTCCGGGCGGGGCTTCAGCCCCAGGGCAGGGGGGCTCGCTGGTCCTTCACCCAGCCCCTGGGGGCGGCGGGGCAGAGTGTTCCCCGTGTGCGCGGAGGGCGTGGGTGTGGAGGTGGCGTGAGGGGCAGCCTTCGTGCCCTCGCCGATGTGTTTGCATCGTTATCTCTGGCCATCTCTGGACGCGCACAAACAGGATGTGTTCCTGCACTGGAAAGGGAAGGGAAGAAACTGTCTCTGTTTGTCTGTTTGTGTCTCTGTGTGTGTCTGTGTCTCTGTCTCTGTCTCTGTGTGTCTGTGTCTCTGTCTCTGTCTCTGTCTGTCTGTGTCTCTGTCTGTGTGTGTCTGTGTGTGCACTGAAAAGGGAAGGGAAGAAACTGTCTATCTGTGTGTCTGTGTGTGTTTTTGTGTGTCTCTGTCTCTGTGTGTCTCTGTGTGTCTTTGTGTGTCTCTGTCTGTGTGTGTCTTTGTGTGTCTCTGTGTGTCTCTGTCTCTGTCTCTGTCTCTGTGTGTCTGTGTGTTCCTGAAACATAAGTTTTTCTTTTCTACTCTTTTCAGCGTGGAATAAAGCTTTACTTGTAACATAATAATAATATTAATTGATGATTGAAAATGCACAAACTCGAATTGCTCTACAGGGCAGATGACTTGGCTGTAGAAACCTTTCTTCTCAGATATAGTCTGGAGGGATACAGCGGCAGGACGTGTCTGACGTCAGACAAATCAGTAGCTCGTGAGCGCCGGCTGGCATCCCTCATCCAATCCGGTGCGAGAGATCGTGACCATAGCCGTCGTTGATTGGTTAACCCACTCGGCTCCCGTCGACGCCATTCGTTGGTCCCGGCGGTGAAACTGCGCCTGGCGCGGCCGCCATCTTGGCTCTGCGGTCTCCTGCGGTTCCTACGGCGGGCTTCCGCGATTTGAGCCGCAATGGCGGCGCCGGCCTTTAGCGTATCCGGCTTCCTGCTCGGCCTCACATGACCCGGGAGTCACAAGGCGACAGCCGCGGTCATATGACTGCCGCTTGGTGCCTCAGGGGCTGCGCTGTCCTGTTTTCTACCCCCGAC